GGTCGCGGCGACGTCGCTTCGCGAGAAAGGCGAGCTTTTCTCGGTACATTCACGTGAGTAACCCGCGATTTTACTTAATTTAGTATGTCTCACGATAGTTATTATAAAAACACAGTTACATTAATTAGTTATATTTATTTCACTAAGGTTCAAACCAAATCTAAAAGAAGATGCACTCACACTTCACACTGAGTAGAAATACCGAAGTAACTCAAAGTTAGTAGGTAACTTCTTAAGTCAAAAGTCAAAGAGTCAAAATCATTTATTTCAATTAAGACAGGACCATAAAAAGTGAAGCTATTTGCTCATTCCGAGGTTTAAATTCGTATGGAGAAGAACGAGCAAGAAACTTCATAGGTAACCTACTCTTTTTCAATCATGTTCACAACGTTAATTACAACATATCTGGATCTAATCATTTTAAGTCTTATTTAACAACCAGCTTGGTCGTAGCGAGATGTTTTATAGCCTATAGCTTTCCTCGACAAATGGACTATCCAATACAAAAAGAACTATTCAATTCGAATCAGAAGTTTCGGAGATTAGCGCGTTCAAACAAACAAACTCTTCAGCTTTATGATATTAGTATAGATACTAAGTTGTTTTTACAATTTTTCTACATCTCTACTCTACTCCATCAACAATCGATGCTCCCAGTTCATTGCTCCTACTACCTACTGATTTATTTGAATAAGAACTTACAAACATACAAATGTTCGACTATAGCATTAACATTCAAGTTTATCAATATGCAGACACTCGGGCCGGCTCACATTACTTTACCGTATATATTCTAAGCCTAACTAATCTAAGACCTAGTATAGAAGGGGTAATTTATTTCAAGTAGGTACTTTGTTACTTATACGAGTCACCGCGAAAGACAAATTTTCATAACATAAATGTTCTGAATTCCTGAAGAATGCCAAAGAATTACTTTTGTTATGGGATAACCTGATAAACGAGCAAATGGATCACTCGATGATAAGCAATCGTTGTGACACCCGAAACACCAGAGGCGTTACAAGCACTTTGGGGATAAGGAATTTGAGGATTGTTGATTAGGGTGATGGGGAGGGATTGGGTCTGCGGTAACTTCGCTTGTTTCACGTCGTTCTTCTTTCTTCTTAGACTGTTATCACACAAAAAAGGCGCAATAATATTTGCGTATAAGTATATGCTTAGTAGTCTAAAATGGTATCTACAGTTTGGTAATAAGTTCGCCTGTATCACAATCTGAATAATAACATATCTAGCGAAAGTGAGCGTAAAGTAAGACATTCTTTGGCAATGACATCACGGAAATGATTTCGTTTTGAAAATTCTAACTTCCAAGGTAGTTCAATGTCCAATGTCCATGGTTTGAGGCAGAAATACCTCAAAAACTACTTATTTGTTCACTTTAATACTGTCTTAATACAAAGGACAAAATTAAGAACTAAAAATCAATCGTACAATATCCAAAGAACTATTAGTATGAAATATGCATGCATGTAAACGATAATTCCTTTATAAAAAGGCCAACTTCACTCCCCTATATTTTGAAGGCAGTTGATTAATATAATACTAAACATTTCTCCCAAACACTTTTCTGAAAATCGGCTCAGCGAATCGCGAGATAGTCGCACACAAACTTACATACATACGAAAGTACATACAAAATTATACATACAGGTCAAACTCAGAACCTTTTTTTGAAATCGGTTAAAATGTATGGTTCCTTCAGACAATGTCTGTATGCACCATGGACTTTGACCTTGACCATTTTATTTTTTACATTTACACGCACAGCCTTACTTAGACACAAACTTCTACCATCTTCTCTAATTACAATACATAACATAATATAATATCACGCCTTTCATCTCCAAAGGGATAGGCAGAGGTGTACATTATCTACAGCGCTTAAAGCCACTGTACAGTGTAACACCCACTTTTCAATATGTATGTTTGGAGTCTCATGCAATAGGGGGTGAGTCTATTGCCATATACCGGGCACAATTCCAGACTCCGTGCTACAACTGAGATTTTTTTAAATACCTAGTAATACTTTCCCCAACCCAGGAATCGAACCCGAGACCCTTTGCCCGGCAGTCGCACTTGCGACCACTCGGTCAACGAGGCAGTCTAATCACCATACTGTTGCATATAACCCTATTAAGGCTGTCCCGTCTTGTGAACTAAGCCTTAAGTTATTATTAGCCACCGAGCTACCAGGTGCTCACAAAAAGCTACTTTAAAGTCATCTGTCACTCATGCCAAGGTCGAAAAACATTAAAGTCTAATCGTGATTTTACAAACATGTTTTAGTTTGTGCGTTCGAATTGATTGGTTTGGTATATTTAAATTGTAATTTATTTGCGTTTTCTTCTGTTTATATTTTAAGTATCGATTGTTACTTTGGACTTTGTTCAGATACATAAAATAGGGTAGATGCCTAATTTTTATTTTAATGTCCGTCTGGTAGATTATTTTAAATCATTAGACACGTATTTTTTATTTTCTTACAGAAACGAATACTTTCTATGATATATTGATTTGAAATGTCGCGTGACGTCACTTCTATGTACATTTTATACGTAGAAAATATGACGTTTTGGCCCCCACTCCTAAACTTTGATTCGTTTTATCTAAGTATTGTTTTATTATATGACAAAGTAAAAAATACGTGTCTAATATTTTTTAATTATTACCTAACTTATGGACTAATTAGATTTTTAATTTTCATACCCTGTTATCATCCCAATTGGAGTGTATGTAACATTATTTTTTTTTGCAATAGAAGGTGAACCCCTCTCATTAGAAGGTGAAGGCCTCCTGCAGGGACAACCACTGTTGTCTGTATTCTGCTACTCTCATCCAGTGGGCACCTGCTACTTTAATGATGTCATCTGTCCAGCGTATATAAAGACCCCTTTTTCTGTGGACTCGTCTAGCGCTGTACTAAAATACCAACATCATGGTTAGGACCATCGGGCCACAGAAAAAGGGGTAGATCAAATATACATACGATACACATACTAAAATAACATTTCTTACAATTTTTTGTTTGTCTGTCATTCTGTTTGTATTGGCTAATATCTGGCATGGAAATCACGACGAACTGGTTACCCTACCGAACAACAATAAAACGCTCTTATTCACGACGCCGCAACGCCGCAACGCACCGCAACGCAAACTACCGATTTTAGCACTGCGGCGACGCAACGCGGTTATGTGTATTGGCCCTTAGCAACTGGTTAGGATATTTATGTAGATACCTACGTTGCGAGGTATAGGTACTATCTGCCAAATCATTCAATTTACAAGTAATAAATTTTATTGTCCAATCGAAATTGTATTTTAATAGTCACTATTACAATTCAATTTCTCGTAAGTATGACAAATACTACCAAGTATGTAAGCACTTCTAGTACTTATCAACATTATCATTGTCGTATCTAGTACAGCGTAGATACGGTGTTATTCCTTAATCATAATGACAAAGCATTAATATGTTCTAAATTAACAAAAATAATTTTATTGCCCATTTGGTATATTCTGAAAAATGTACCTACAACGACAACCTAATGCCTCTTTCCACAGGGAGAAGGTTTAAGCATTATTAAGGCGGCGCTGATTGCTTACCATCAGGTGATCTTGCCTCCTATTCCATAATAAAAATCGCCACGCTTGGTCAACGTAGACGCGTCGCGTTCCGCGCGCGCCTCAAGGAGCCATCGGACCACCACAGATGGGGCCTAACAGGGCTGATGCCGATACGGAGCCGCGGAAGACTAACGGGTTGCCGGGGCTCCGGCTCGAAGTGCAGTAGTAGGAACGGGGTGGTTTTTAGTCAGTAAGAGTCATTGGATGATTTTCCCCCATCAAAAAAAAAAAAAAGTAGTTAACGTGGGTTGGCGATTTTAAACTTGTAATTAGAAATTATAAGCTTAAGTTTCCTCACTATATTTTCCTGCAACGTTTGTAAGTGGTGTCAAGACCTTACCTCACATGGAAACAGTCACATTAGTAGGTTTTAACCGTTGGTAGGTTTAGAACTTGCCCCCTTATGGGAAGCGGGCGTGTTAAACCTCCGAGCTATCACGACTCTACCTAAATGCCCGTACTAGTCTAAAATTATGCAGGAAAATTTTTAGTTGTAGTACAATTACAAACTGAAGTAAAATAAATAGCACTCTTGCCCCCTTTCCTCCCTATTACCTACAAAAGTAATGTACACGTTTCAGTCCTGTGTCTTGAAAAATATGTAGGTAAAACCAAAAAATATTTTTTTAGAATAAAATAGAAGACAACTTATAGGTGAGCCTATAATTGTAGGCTATGGGCCATTCATATTAGAAATAAATACAAAATACCTATTAAACGAATAATCGACTTGCCTTTTAATGAGACAATTTCATAGATATAAACAAAATATAAAAGTGACATCCGTTTAAAGAAAATTCAAACCACAAATAAAACTTCCTTAACAGACAGTGCTCGCATTACTACTAAACAGGTATAGGTATTATCTAACATTAATATACTATAAATTCTACTTTAAAATCATTGGACGCCTACTATAAAAGCCTGAGTCATATTTTTTAAACTTGTAAGTTGCTGCGCAGTAAAGATCTGGGGGCTTACTCTTGAATCCAATTCCGATCGATCGACATTGGTATTGTGAAATTTCGTACTCTCGAGTTGCAACACTAGCGCCCATTGGATTCGTATTGCATGGATATTGAATGAACTAAATAGTATTGAGTTTGGCTTTATATTCCGTACACTGAATGCTATTTTAACAGCTATGATAGGGGTTGTATAGTTTTGACATTGAATAATTATTGAGATTTTATTGGATTGAAATTGCATTGACATTGAGATTGGTTTCAAGAGTAAGCACCCTGTTCTCATATCATGTCAAATATTGTTGAGTTTATGACATACTAAAAGCATAGAGGGTGGTACTAAAAAATAAAATGAAACAATAAAACAATTTACAAAATAATTTATTTTCCTATTATCCTCCCCAAAGATATTATACATTTGATTACGAAGCCCAGATTCTAGTTAAGGCGTAATAAATTCGATGTGTTAAAATTAAATAGTAGGTAGTTAGCATCAAGCTAATAATTTTAGGAATAAGTCTATTAGTTACAATAGCGTTTTAACTACATAAATGATACATAAAGTGCACCTAAGGTGTCATGGCTACTGTTTTGATAAGCCATTATTTTACACCCATATTTGTTTATTATAAAACGTATAAAAAACATCCGAATCTAAAATTAATAAGTCCAAAACTTGGCAGTGATCGTTAATTTTACTGGTACATTAATATATTCAGTGCTTTTCCAATTTTACAATGGGTTACTAACGATTAAATTGTTTATTTATAATTATTGATTAATGATTATTAACGCTCAGTAAATCTTGCCTGTCTTTATCATTTTACCTTATATAAAACGAGACTGCAATATAAAAATGAAATACAGAGCGAAACTTTACCAAAATCACAATTTTTAAAGGATTTCTTTATATATTTGTTTTATTTTTAGGCGTGATCGTCCCGCTGCAGGGCAAAGGCCTGCAGATGATTTTATATGATACAAAAATAGTTTTTACTGCAAGTAAATTAGAAAAGCGATTGTAAAATTGTCTAGCAGCAATAATTCTACAGTACCCGATCCTTACTAAATATTAATTTTACAACTAAAGGCAGTGCAAGCTATACGTCTCGGTTATCGTAAATTAAAACATCTCCAGTTTTACAAGTCAGGTTTGTTAGTAGGTTTAGATACAGCCTTACTGCAATATAGCTACAAACAATTATTAGCTCTACTTTCTTTTAATTATGAAATCACAATTAAAACATATTTTTTTAAGCATTTTATGACAGCCATTACAATAGCGCAAAAAATTATATTTACATAAAAAAAATAAAAACACTGAGAAATTTAATTTCATTACTTGAATTTTATTTCGTTTATTAAATGCTGCTTGAGAGAGCCTTTTTCAATATCAACGACCGATACCGTTTATTTAAAATTTCGTTTCTTATAAGTTATTTTATTGTGTAGTAACCAAACTACTATTGGCCTGACTATGATTCCCAAATCTGTGTAACATTCTCATACGAATGTAGAACAAAGATTTTCTTAAATAAATAAATAAAAGCTGAAGAATGAAGCGAGTACATCAAGCACGTGCAAATGGCACATGTTAGGCTTAAGATTACAAAGACACTTACAAACTAAACACGTCTAAATAAAATCAACTGTCATATTCAATATGACATTTGATTAATTATGCTCATCATATTACATTGTCTAAATATGACAAAGGATTAAAGTTTTATGATTGATAGTATTTATTGAATTAAAATAGAAATATTATAGTTGTATTTTTATATAACACGAGAAGATATTAACTTTGATTCAATTTGTAGTCGCAAATAATGAGATATTAGATATTTTGTTATTTTGTCAACTTTTTGAGTATTATTTGTATAAATTTAAGTACAAAGAGTCACCTTTACAATAAAAATACATATAACCATAGCATGTAAAAGCTACCAAAAGTCAAACCCTATAAATTGCTAAGCGTAATAAATTGAAGAGATTAATATTTATTGTTTATCACCTCAACGTTAATGACAAAAGTGAATGTCATCGAAACCTAGTCATACATTTGTATCACAAACCATTAAGGCTTCTTACATTAAAAATCGTTTGTCATGTAGTGAAATCATAGGTAGAAAGTTGAAGAGATAATTATTATAAAATTAAATAATATAATCTAAAGTAGTGCTAACATCACATTGTTTGCCTAAGTCTAGATTCAGACGTTTAGGTTACAAACCTAACAGATGTTTTGCTTGTTTTGTCATTAACTTAACATTACGTATTATTTAAGTATTTTACAAAAAGTCCTTATGGTTTTAATTCGTAGACATTGATTGAAAACGTTCAATACCTCTGTTTAGGAACTTTTAAGGGATCAAGTTGTATTGAAACATATCAAGACACTTATAGCTTGTAGTTCTAATATTTGATAGTGGTATTCCAATTGATATCAGTAATACTTTTTAAATCAAACAATAATCTCTAATTCCTGTTTTGTAAATAAGATAATAAATTAAAAAGAAAAAGCAACTTGATATATTCGAATCCCTATTTACGAGAGGACTTTATCGAACAATTCAAATACATTTTCATATCAACACTACGAAATAACTATAAAAAATTACAACCGACTATATACATTTGAGCACTTGCAACACATAGTGCGTACTATGACACTTTCGCAAAAGTTTTGAGTCCGCATTGGAGTCTCTTTTGAGGTACGGTTATCCAGAACCACCGGATCCGTTCATGTAGACATCCGTTGCAGCTCGCTGACCGGCCCGGATCACACTCTGGACGGTTTGGGCAGCACCCTGGAATGAGGTAAAAGAACATTTTAGTATTTGACATAATCAAGGTGCAGTAAGTTTTTTTTTAAAAAATCGTTGCCCCACACTAGGATTTTCTCCTGTGTCGCGGGTGCGTTGATGACATGACACCCAGACCCGAAACAACAATTTGTGGTTCACACAAAGAGTTGTTTCGTGCGGGAATCGAACTCACGACACATTGCACGGTAGCCAGTTGCCCAACCACCGTGCCAACCGTGCAGTCAAAGTTGGGTGGGTATCAACTATTTTGTTTTTATCATTTGTACATAATGTACAATAAGATTAATAAAATAAATAATGTACTGAAACAAATCTAAAACTAAGCATAATATAATCAATTATGATAAATATTTGTCTACCATATAACTAGATTCAAATATTCAATAAAAGATAATAATATTTAGAGATTAAATCATCAGCATTCAATGATTTAAATATAAAATTAAGGGTTGATTAACTGTTAATAATTCATGATAGTTACTGATAAAATGTAAGTTACTTTAAAATGATTGAAATTAAATATTTGAAAATATGACATAGTTAACACGAATATGATAATTAAAAAAATGTTGAAAAGTTTATTTTTGACATGATAAGAGATTTAATTGATTACACGTTTATTTAGTTGTAATAAACTTGCAAAAGATCTTCAAAATTATTGTTGCCCTGAAAAATAAACTCACAGTTTTTCTAATCAGCCTTTCAACACGGTTTAAAATGACTAAAACAATCATAGTCACGGTAAATTAAATAAAAAAATCTACATTACAGTTTCACTCTTTGACACTACACAAAATAGGGTGTTTAAATCAAATGTCATATTGAACATGACGCAATATGACAGATGATTAATTATATCCCAAAACTGAGAAAATACATTATTATGATGTAATTACCTGTATCGCAGCTCCTAAGAACTGTGAGAAGGCTCTGGTGACATTAATGGCTGCTGACACAAGCTGACCTCGTCCAGGTTCTTGCTGAGCCGTCACGGCTCTAGGCGGCTCCAGGGGTATCTATGTATTAAGTATTACTGTTAGGTATTAGAATTTAAGATGAGAGTGATTATAGCATGTATGGTAACGCTTAGGCAGTGAGCTGTGCGATTTGTTATGAAGATTTTTTTAATCAAAATATTGTTAGAAAAATTAATTTATTGTTAAAAGATTAATTTTATTTATATTCCATTAGTTAATGTATTGTAATATTAAATTTAAGTTGTGTGTAAAAATCTTCATATTTATTGTATTTTTTTGATAAAATGTGAATCGTGACGGTGCAATGTTTGATAGTGGAAATGATATAGAAAATAAAGTATGTAGATATAGTTTAAAAGTTGAAGGCTAAAAGTTATAGAAAAATGTATAAAACAAGTAATATTATATAGAAATATACAAATAATTATACACAGATATTTACAGATAAGTATATACAAAGAATAATATAATACAAAGTGTAAGGAAGAGTGCTATAGGTTAGTCAAAACATGCTTTTGGAACATTAAACTTATAAATAACCTGTTTTATAGTTGTAATAAGGATCAAATTCGTAGGTCACATTAATTTTACAATTAAGGTATTTCTTTAGTAAAATATTAATTAAAATCATCAGTAATTTTAATAGGCAAGCGTTCAGCAGAATTATTGTAATTTAGACAAATTATAATTTTGTTATTATTGTAGCCAATCCTTTTTGTTTACTCACCGAATGATTATGTTACACTTCACAAACACTTTATATAATTAGAAAACACTTTTTAGAATTAATATTCAGTTTTTATTATAAAAGTTATTAACACTACATCAACTGAATTAGCTACATCAAGTTCTACGCATTCATGTCAATACTAAAATCGTTAGTTAATCTTTTCGGAAAAGTAAGTGGTATGGATTTTGGTCACAATGGGTATTCATGTATCAAGGATGGGGAAAATGAGTGAACAGGACTTTGGTACTAAGAAAATTCATTACTTTTAAAAATTGTCTCCATAAACTTTGCAATTCACATTGTACAAAAGTCCTGTTCATTTTCTACGTTATTTACAATTGGTGTACAAATGGATGGAATGTGGATGGGTAAATTATTATTATTATTAACATTTAATACAATACACAAACACAACAGTAAATTAAAACATTTTATTATACAAAAAATAAACGCGCTGCGTAACGGCACAATGTTGTATGTACAAGCCAATGAAGCCAATGTTTAATAAATAATTTAACTAATAAAAACACAAAAATTACAAAAAAGATCTAAGAAAAATATTAAAATTATCTTAATTCATTTCTCACTATGTACATCCCACCAAATCTCCATTACTATACAAAAATCTATACAACACCAGACTTAGATTAAATAGGAACAACTCACTAAAATGATCGCAAAAAAAAAAAAAATTAAATTCGTAGTTAAATCTGCTTATTTAATCTAAAGTCTGTACCCAACACCTCATCCCCAATCACATAGTTTAAGTAGTAACGATGCAAAACCCACTCTATTTCCTGGTCTATCATCAGCGTTGCCAACGAAGGGCCCAGAGCCAAACCAGTTGCCCCTATTGCTCGTCGGTGCTGACGACACTGTTGGGGCGGGCCTGGGCGAGGGCGCGGGCTCAGGCCTTCTGTTTGGCCTTGGCGCTCCTGATCCCGGAGCAGTCTCCCTCCACTGTTGCCAGAGCCAGGCCAATCCGTCTAAAATTGGCCTCCGAGGTGCTGGTGGTGGAGGAGGCGGCGTCGTCGTCCGTCTTGCTTTCGGCGTCACTACCACTTGGTTGAGTAAAGCCTACGAGGTTACAGTTAATTCTAGAGTTCCTAATGAATTAGACATAAATACTGAAATAGAGCCAATGAAATATATGAAGAGACAGATGAGAGATATCGAGATAATGGTGCAGGAAGCGGAGTGAAGTTACGAGTAGTTTGCATCAGTGATATTATGAGAGTTAAAATTTAAAATGTATGATGAATGGGCTCAGGAAGAAACTAATGTCCTTCCAATGGATTAGGTGAAGTAAGAAAAGTTAGACTAACAGCGAGTCGAAGTTGCTCATCCAAAGAACTTGCCGTGGTTGGACCGAAACCTTGCTCCTTCAGCAAAGCTGCCAGCAACGCGTCGTTGCTCTTGCCATACTCGGTGCTAAGAGAGATAGGCGCTCGCGTTGCTTCGGACACCATTCCCGTCGGTTGAGTCTGCTGAATCAGTTTCTTAAGGGCTTCGTCTGAAGATTGTCCTGGAATATTATAAAGGGATCATTTGTCTCGACTTTTATGACAGATATACATATTTATTGTTTCAGAGGACATATTGTGAAATTTGACAAATACTGCAAAGAAATTAACGTAAATTGTTATTTTAATATGTACAATAATTAACTATTGTTGCAGCCGCTTAATGAAAATACTTATGAGTAGATACTTACTTCCAAAATATATTATCAAACCAACTTACCAGTGATAGTAAGTTTACTCCTTTGAGTCGTAGTCTCCTGTGCGCCCTGTAATTTGATCAAAGTTTGTAACAACTTCTCATCATCTTGATCACTTTTCAAACTATCCTTAACAGCTATTTTTGCTCCATAGGGCAAAGCTGTTTTAGACTTTACTTCCTTAACATTAGAGTTAATAGTTGGCTTCGGCGTTAGCGAATCGAACGGTTCGTTCAACGGTGATGGCGAAGCTAGTAGATTTGATAGCAGTTTCAGATCATCACTAACACCATTTGGCAGATTAGGACTCACATTTAAGTTTGGTAGTGTAGGCAAATTGAGTTTGGATGGATCTTGTCCAGTGGCTTTTAGTAGTGCTTGAAGTAGCTTAGTGTCTTCTTGGAATTGTCTAATATCATCTTCAATAGATGGTCCATTGACAGAAGTTGTTGGTCTCTGTGTGGTTGTTAGTCTTTGTGTCGTTGTTGTTGGACGTGGTGTTGTTGTAGTTGTCGTAGTAGTAGTCGTTGTTGTTGTTGTTGTTGGTGGCGGTGTGGTAGTTGTGGTTGCTGGTCTGTTTGTTGAAGGTATCAAGTTGTTTCCACTGACAGCTATATTTTTTCCTGTGCGGACTGTTTCGCCAGTTCCCGTTTGTATATCATTGAGACTCCGTTCTACAGCTAGTGCTATGATACGATTCGCTAGAGCTGCTTCAGGATCTTCATTGTTAGGGTTTGTTTTCAGCACTGTTTTCTGTAAGTAGAAATTCGCCATATTTAATGCATAAAAATCCTACATTTTAAATTCATTTTCAGTCTGAGTCAGATGTCACAATCCTATTTAAATATTTATAATACTAATAAACGTTACATAACTGTGTAGAAGAAATCAAGAGATTTTTTAAGGAAAAAAGTAAACTTCATTGTGTAGAAAATTAGAATCTGTAGAAAAACACATTTTCGATTCAATAATAAATTCAACAACTTACCAAGTTCTTCAAGAAAGCCAAATCCTCTTCAACAGAGAACGTAGAAGAACTAGGCATTTCTGTAGTTGAAGTAAATCCAGTGAATGGAGCCCGTCGACCAGTAAGTGTTGTTGGAGCACTCCTTATTGTTGTCGTCAGCCTTTCTCGATTGAAAGGCGTGAAAGTCGTGGAAATCCCAACATCAGTCACAGGCTGTAACGTAGTTGTAAGAGTTCTAGGAGCAAATGTTTGGAATACTGGACCATTAGTTGTTGCAAACACGGGCCTAACATTCAACGGTGTTGTTGGGTTTGATCCCAACGATGTCGTTTGAGGATTAGAAGCTATCCTCACGTTTGATGTCACACCAGATATTACTGGAATATTTAAAGTACTTGGATTTTGACCAGTCGCCTGTAACAGAGCCTGTAAAAGTTTCGTGTCTTCTTGGAATTGTTTGATATCGTCTTCAATGTTTTGTGTTGTTGATGGCCTACTGGTTGTCGTCGGCCTAGTTGTTGTCGTTGTTGGTCTAACTGTAGTAGTAGTAGTAGTTGTTGTTGTTGTTGTGGTTGTTGTTGGTATAGCTGTTGTAGTTGGAATATTAGTTGTTTGTGTAGTTGGGATTCTTACGGTTGTTAGACTATCTAATGCGGGTATGTTTAGAGAAGCAGGGTTTTGTCCAGTAGCCTGTAAAAGCGCTTGTAATAATTTTGTATCCTCCTCAAACTGTTTAATGTCTTCTTCTATAGATCGTGTTGTTGTGGTTGCTTGTTGACCTGTTGATACTCGTAAGTTGCCACCCAGATTTGGAATAGACAATGTTGTTGGATTGATTGGATTTGTAAACAATGCCTGCAATAGCTTTACAGGATCAGTGGTTTGAGTTGTCGTTGGTGCTCTAGTTGTTGTAGTTGGCCTAGTTGTTGTAGGTGGCCTAGTTGTTGTAGGTGGCCTAGTTGTTGTAGGTGGCCTAGTTGTTGTAGGTGGCCTAGTTGTAGTAGGTGCTGTAGATGTAGTTGTGGGTCTTAATGTAGTAATTAGGTCACTTAGTGATAATGTATTTACATTAAGATTCTTTGGATCACGACCCGTAGCTTGCAGTAATGTTTGTAGTAATTGGACATCTTCTCGATACCTCCTTAACTCTTCTTCTACACTAATAGTAGTGGATTGAACTACCGTTGTAGCCTGTGCTGTTGTTGGTGCCTGTGTTGTCGTTGGCGCCGCTGTAGTAGTTGTTGGAGCTGGAGTAGTTGTAGTAGTAGTCGTTGTTGTTGTTGTCGTTGTTGGCGCTGGTGTTGTTGTCGTTGGCATAGGTGTCGTTGTCGTTGTTGGCTCCATCGTCGTAGTGGTAGGTGCGGGCGTAGTAGTAGTCGTAGGAGGTAAAGTAGTCGGCTGGCTCGTGGTAGTTGGCACAGTTACGGGGGCATTTGTGAATGCAGACGACATAACCGTTATTTCAGGCATAATTGTTGTTCTCTGAGTTGTTGTTGCTTCAGTCATTGTTGTTTCTTGTGTTTGTATTTGTGGTGTCTGCGTACTCATCTCAGTCACTGACGAAGTCGACATGGTTTGTATCTCAGTTTGTACGGAAATAGTCGATGGTGGTGTTTTAGTTGAGGCCAGTTTCAGTACGTTTGAATTTTGCGGTGGTACCGTAACTTCGTCAATTGGTATGAATTTAAATACGGCACTTCCATCACCTTCCCCTGGCTTTTCCGTACGTATTTGTTTCGTCTGTAATTGTTTTGGATGAGGTTAATTTGGTATCATCACTTCATCTTACAATAGTTTTAATAGCAGTTTTATTTACATAGGTAATTGCCAAACTACTTATCAATGAACCTTCACCACTTACCTTTTAAAAATCAAGTTATAACTACTAGATTATATTATTATACCAAGTCCAAGTGTTATGATTGCATATGAAAATGTGTGATAAATTATAGTGAATATTAGTGACCACAGTAATAAAAAGAGATATATAAATAAGGAAACGTCTAACGTATATAAATAATATAATTATACCTCCGGATCAATATCCAGTGTTAATATTCTTGGTTCGCGAGTAGAGCTCGTCATTTCCGATATGACCATCTCCTGTATAGCGGCCGAAGATATACTATTAAGCAGAATCTCATCAATAGAAGGTAGCATTGTAGTTGTGCGTAAACTCAATACATGCGAGGCAGTGCTTTTTTCTGGCATAATGGTGGTAGTTATACCGTTACTGCTTTTAATATTAAGTGCCGATGGAGTAATCTGCAATATCGAAATAAAATGTTACCGCCGAAGTTATTAGAAGCGGTTATCGTGCTACAGGCATGCACAGCTTACGAAGACCCGTCGTCCGTTCCGCATGCGCCGACCGCTCCAGAGACATTGCGCCTGCTAGTGAAAAAGGAAGCGCCAAGCCGAGCGTTAAGCTAAATAACATAAAGTCAATACCATCCGTTGTTGGTTATTTACAGTGTCGTTGGTTAATCTTTCCGTTCCGTTATTTGATGTGTCTGTGGATGTCGCAGTATTAGTGGATTCTCGGATGGGGTTAGGCTGCGGTCTGACAATGGCCGGATTATTATGGATGGGGCTGTATGGATTTCTTAAACTCCACGGGCTGATTGGCAGAATGTCAATTTTTTGCATGACTCGTGGCACTCTGGTCCCGTTCGGGAATTTACGTATTACTGTGTTATTGGGTAGTACACCGTAAACGATATATGGGCTCGCCTCTGTTAATTGTTCCAATATGTCTTCGTTAGGATTTTTACGTACCACTGTATTGTTAGGTAATATTCCGAATATGACATAGTCTTTTTTCGGAATAGTTGATGTTCCAACATTCAAGGTACTAACTGTTGTTTGTGAAGTGTTGCTGTCTGATACGTCGGTGGAGGTAGTGGTGTCTATGTTGAATGTAGTCGTTTCTACATTTTGTGTCGTTGTCTCGGTGTCAGCTACTACTGTTGTAGTTTCCATTGTTTCTGAATTAGCAATCGTTGTACTTGTGATAGCAGCCTCTTGAATTCGACTTAATATTTCGACCTTTTGTTCTGTAGTTGATGTCGGCATGGTACTTGTAACATCATTGATCGTCTCACTAGTATCAGTTGTAACTGTAGTAGTGACAGAAGACGAACCCGTTGTGCCATCGATTGCTTGGGTACGACCCGAACGTGAAGATATAGAGACAGTCTCACTAGTAGATGGCACACTACTTGATGATACTGCCTCCGTTGTGGTCGTAAGGACAGTTGGGGGGTTGGCTGTAGTAGTTGTTTCGAACACATTGGTAGAAAGAGGATTGATAACAAAGGATGGGGTAGTCATAGGAGAGGTAGTTTCAATGTCACGAGTCGTCACAGTTTCAGTCGAAGCTATCATAGTATTCATGATGTTTGTCAAACGTTCCGACAAGTTGATATTGCCAGATGGGCTAACAAAATCAGTCAATGGCGGTAGTGTTGCTAACTCATCATTGTGTTGTCTTATAATGTCTTCAATCATCTTCAATACTCTAGCTTTCTTTGATAGTACCCATAATTGTAACCGCGATACTTGACTAGGATCTTGTATTTCGCCAATATCACGCGGTGGTGGTGATACAGATGAAGATACATAGGATAGACTTAAGGGTTTCAGAAGAGATGTAGTTGCAGCACTGTGTAGATTATCAGAATCATCAACAGTGAAGTCAAGACTTTGGAAGTTTGTGAGAAAAGGTAAAGGAATAATCTTGTTAGTAGAGTCACTTGGTATATCACTTACAGTATTTACATTTAATGAGGCCGTCTCTGAGGAGACAGGAGACGTAGCAGCCACTGTGGTTGGTGTTGCAGCGGATGTAGTTTGTACTGCACGAGCGGTTGTCGTAGAAGTTGGAGCAGCTGTCGTCCCCTGGCTACTAGATACAGACCTTGTGCTTTCTACAGCTCCCGGTGTAACAGGATTATTTACAGTAGTAGGATTTTGTGTGACACTAATGGGTACATTTCTATTATCTACAGTGATATTTACATTACCGCCAGTGCTTACACTTTGGAGGGAATTATTGTACTCTACACCATCAATAACAATATTAGCAGTATCCTTAATATCCTCCAAACTATAAGGCGTGGTGTTCGGGATTGAATCTGCATTGTCAAGTACAGTCGCAAGTCCACCTAAAGCTCTAGGGATCAAACTTTTTAATACTTTAGCCATATCTAAACTCTTTAGTTTCGATCTACTATTTTCATCCATGTTCTCTATGATATTTATAATGTTATTTGACAACATGCTAGTTAGTTCAGAAGATACTAAATTGTTATTGGACAACAAAAGATCAGACACAGTGTTATATACCATTTTCGGGCTGTCAGTCGATCCCTGAGTTGGTGTGGATGCAGTCGTGGTTTTGTCTTTTGGCGGTTCTGTTTCAGAGTATAGCACTCTAATGGCAAATGGTTTCCTTGCGGAAATGGGAGTTGTGGGAGTGGGAGTGGGAGTAGTGGGTTGTGGTGTATTCACAGGAGTTTTACTTCCGTCTTCTGTGTTTAGTGACTGTGTAACAGTTCCCCCGACCAAAATACTGTTAATCACATTTGGTGTGCCTTGAACAGTGGGCTGTACAGATTTAGTAGTAGTGCTTACATCGGCGTTGGTCGACATAAATGTGTCCTGACCCGCTAAGTCTTGGACACTATTTACATTATTGTTGCTACTCACGCCGTCGAGTATTTGTTTAACGTCAGTATTAAGTTTTTGTATTTTCGTTACTTCGGTTGTTGTCGATATTCGTGGTCTGGGTGTGGACGTGAGTATTTCAGCTAAAGCATCAAATATAGATACTGTAACTGACGGCGAGTGGTGTGACGCCTCAACGTTCATCACGTGGGGCGGCTTCACCAGACTCTCGGACAGTCTTAGGTCTGCCGAGGACAGTGTCCTTCGTGTTTGAGTAAAGGAAATAGCGTTCAGGTCTGGCCCTAATTGTATCTCTTCTCCCTCAACCTGAAATAAGAAGTAATCTCACCCATAAAAACAGAAAAGTAGATTTTTGGTGTAATAAGTATGTATGCTCAACTTTGAAAAGAAATTTTTGCATGTAGTGGAAACCCGAGTAGGAACTCGTGCAAAGACCAAAGCCACTTTACGTATTTTGGAATTAAGATAATAGTCAGATATTTTTAGAGGTTAGTGTTAGATGAAAGTTAGCCATAGATGACGTTATGTATTAAAACAAGATGTAACATGTATACATTATTTAATGTCTTATATTAATTGTATGTTAGTGAATGCTAATCTACACATACGTACATTAGTTTGTTAAGTTTTTGCGTCTGTTTAAATGCTTTAAGTCATTAATTGTGCGATAATAATAATTATATTGATGATTTTAACGCAAAAACTTGTAAGTATAATTTTGGTTTAAAGAGATTTAGGTGAAAATAATAAAGATGAATTATTATGTACTTTACTTAATATTAGAAAAATAATTGTCTTAAAATCTACATCTCTTTAAAACTAAATCAAATCCATTTACAACAGGGTGAATGAAATGAGCAATGATCGTGACAATGATGTATGTTAACTATATGATTCCATTAACCAGTTCAATGGATGATTCGTGAAAGTATGGCGTTGTATTGTTCTGTCTTGATATCGACTCGGTAGTGTATATGTCTCCTTCGAACCAATTAGGCTCTTCTACAGACTTTGTCAACAGGTGGTCAGTGACGTAGAATTTCAGCCAAGCCTTTAGCAATAAGAAATTTCTCATTAATGTTAAAATGACACATTACACATTGATTCTAAAAATTGAATTTAAATGGAATGCCAATCAGGGAAGAGTCATTTCTGATTGTAGGAGTATTTTAGGTTTTACAACAAGTTAAATGTTTGCTAACTCAGAATGATTACCTAGAAAATGAGCATGAAAGTATCAACAATCAGAAATAACTCTTTTTAGTTCTCAATGATGATGGTGATTTTATTATCAAGTGCCATGATGAATATTAATATGAAAATGTATTGAAATTTTGATATCTTAACGCCAATTCGATAAAGGGGCTTTGTTAGAACTAACTTATTACTATGGAGTTCAATTGTATTAAAATAATTTTGAAAAGATACTGTAAAACGTTAATCTTTGTAGGTATTGTGTTACTTACAGTTGATGATGTAATGGAAGGTACAGTGGGTTTGTAAAATGGTTTATCGAGATACGAAGCTCTGTATTTAGAACTGAACCTACTCTTAGATTTATCAGGTTCAGGCGTTATCTGTAAAGTTCGGTAACAATAATGAAAAACATCTGAAATATTGTCTGTCTACGTGAAATAGAAATGTGCTACTTACCCCATTAGTTGAGGCCTCAGTCGTCTTAGAGAAGGATTCGCTGAACTTTCTTATACTTCTTTCTCTAGGTTTCGGAGAAGTCACAACAACATCTGATTTACCATCTTTAGATTTGACTCGACCACGTCCATACTTTCTTGTTTGTAGATTTCTCACAGGAGGAAATACAGTGGAAGACCCTTTTTCTTTCTCGATTTCATTGGTTGAATTTTGATCTTTGAAATTAGCGTGATATTTGTATTTATCACTGTCTAGTCTTGACGAAGCAGATGGGGAAACATTCAAAATATGCATGTTTTCTGTTTCTTCTGGCGTATTTATTACGTCGTTATTTGTGTTATTTTCCAAGGACTCTTTACTGGTAACTGATATGAGAAACATGAGGTTGTCATTATTTTCTTGTTGATCGTCTATCCTCGCAGTTTTTCTATCCTCCGAATTATTCAGTAAAGCGATAACTAGTGGAGCGTCAACGGTTTCCACAGTTGTTTTCGGTTCAGATTCAGGTGTAACTTCAACAACTGCTTCTGTGGTCGACGATACTTCATTTTTGACATTATTTCTTAGTCTTGAATAATACGATGTGCGAGGCAGAACTGTTTTCTTCGTCAAACTTGGGTTTTCAAACTTCACACTTTCCGTGGACGAAGCTTCGGTAGAGGATTTTCCTTTAAATTTTCTGGAATAAACTGGAGGTCGCACAAAGGCCTTTTTTAAATTGCTACTTATTTCAACCGGTTTGCTTTTATCTTCGGCTTTAGGTGATTCAGTACTAGGTGCTTTAAATTTTCTGCTGTATTTGTATGCTGGTTTCTCAGTACTTTGGCCTGAAACAGTACTGGCTGTTGTTGAGGAAGGGCTTGATGTAGATTTTCTGGCTCTAGCAGAATAAGTTCCTCTCGGCTTGTATTCTGAATTCCTAGGTTTCGACACCTCAGGAGCTACAGTTGTTTCAACTCCTTTAATGTCTTCTTTGTTCTCGTTTTTTAACTCCTCCGCTGCTGCTTGTTTGTTACGAAACTGCAAAAATTATTAAAAATTTATTTTTCTATATTGGACAAACACAACTTATTCGTGTCACACATTATTTGGAAGAAAAAAACTGTGTTTGAAATGAGTTGTGATTTGCGAGTGTGTTTTATTCTAAGGAAATAATTTAGGATAGGTATCCAATTGCCCTGGAAGTTATTTTTACCCGTGAATATTTGTTTGTGCCAGGTCCAGTTAGTGTTGACTGTGATGATGCAGGGTAGGTTTTGTAAACTTTTTGTGATGCTTTCAGTGATAAACTCTCTTCGGTTGGAGAGCTCGCCTGTGTCTGAAAATTGGTATCGGATATATTTATATTATGCTGTTTAATTTGTATTTGATAGACTAATTAGTGTAGAACTGCAAGAAACTCTGCTGATTGTTACGTATTGGTTTAAAGATTTAGTAAAATGATATTTAAGTTTTGAAATTGTGAGTAATCGGCTTTATGCATAACGATGAAGTCAATGGGCTCACTCCGGGAACTAATATAAAATAACTACAACAGTAAAAGTGAGTATATCCACCATCGACTGTATTCTCGCAGATGTTCGTGGTGTTATAATTGAGGACAAGTTACAATTTTGTGAAACTCGGGAAGATAAATCATAAAGTCGTAATTTAAATTAATGACAATGGATGGCTTAATATACAAATTAAATAATTCTGCTCACCGATGCATTCTTAGCCTGTATTAAAGCCTTAAAACTTTCTGGATAGTTGTCATCTTCGGCTATTTCATCGGAAACTGGGACTTTTGGCAAAGACACAGATGGTCTAAAGTTCACCTTCCCTCTCCCTATGGGTCGTCTTACCACCTTTGTAACCTTCAGCGTTGTAGATTTAGGTTTGTTTGCTTCTGTAATGTGTTGAACAATAGTTTCGACAGCGGTTGGAGCGGCAGTTTGAATTTCTGCTTGACTAGTGATACTCTCTTTATTCTGACTAGACTTAATGACTTCGTTAGCTGTAACGAGCCCTTCACCTGTTAAATTCGTATCAGTCTCTGAAGGTCGAGGTTTATACCGGAGTTTTCTAGCGTTTCTCAAATCTGGTTGTTGGGCAGTTCTAGCTGTAGTTGGTGCTTTTTCAGCAACATTCAAAGTATTGGTAGTTCCTGATACATCAAGATCTAATGATCGCGCATTGGCACGAGTACTGCCACGTCCACGTGATCTTTTAGGCGTGACCTTTTCAGTTGTTTGAACTACAGGGGTTCTACGTCTAAATTGAGTAGTAGCCGTGTCTTCTTTAGGGATTTTTGTTATATCATCAAGATTAGAATTGATTACTTCGATTTTGCTTTCATCAATGTTTGGAGAAGTCAAGTCTACAGGTGCTGGAGTGGGTGCAGGTGCTGCTGTCGGTCGTCTACTACCTCCTCTCGATCTTGACCTTGTCACAGGCTCTCTTGTTAGTGAAGCATCCTTGTTAGTAGATTCAGTGACAGTTGGTTGACTGCGCGTTCGAGTTCTTCTCACATCGAATCGTTCGTTTTTTGGTGCTTGAGGTTGTTCAGGAGTTGGAACAACCTCGGGCCTCGATCTAGTCCTAGTGCGGACGACATCTTTCTGAGGAGTTTCTTCGCGTCGCCTACTATTTCTTGGCCTGAAAGTAGGTTGTATATTTTCCGAAGGTCCAGTTTCAGCTACATTATTGCTATCTGGAGCTGATGGTGCTTGCAACCTTCTACTCCTCGAAACACCTTCCACCTGGAAAGTAAAAAAAGATACATTGAGTAAAAATTCAAATAAAATACAATAAGTAACTGCGAGACATAAAAATATCGCCGTGAAATTACACACAGGAGAAAATAAGTAGTAAATGTACATACATGGCAGTTTTCCTAAGACATGTGTTAGAGTCGCAACAAATAAAGATAACGAGAGAAAGTACAGTAATCAATTACGCACGTAACGCTTAATGAGTAGCGCTGAAAACGAAAGTGCCATCTGCAACAATGCATTATGAAATCTTTAATCTGTGAAGACAAAGAAAGTGCGTTGGAACAATACTGGACGGATGGCAACCGGTCATTGGAACGAATAATTCAGTTACTTCATGTGACATAACAAGCTACTTTTATCAAGTGACAGAACGAGGAAGAATCGTGTTTACAACTCGTTAATAAATATTGTAAGTTAGGACTACTGATAAATTAGTAAGAAGATATGATGGTCAAGTCCAAATATTTATATATTTATTTATAAACACTTCTGCATAATTTTTACTTACATTTATTTATTTATAAACTATGTACATACTACTGTTATAACAGGAACTAATACTTAATGCAATAATGTATGCCAATATTAATAGAGTTAAATTACAAAGTCTAATTTTACAATTTGGTACTACAACATTTATAACTATGGTAACAAACATATTCCTTAAGCTAAGTCACAGATGGGTACAGGTACAGTAACAGGCTCTTCTGAATTAGTTCAGTGTACAATAAAATAAGTCAATGTATTCCGACATCACATTGAGCGTCCGCAGCGCCCGCGTCAGGGGCGCGCGCTGTAGGAGGTTGGTGCGTGCGCGTGGTATCGCCAGCAGCGCTGGCTTCCGGTACACATAACTGGATCAGCTCCAAAACCCTCGGGTTATATATATTTTTAATAAACATACGATGGCGGACTTAATGCCGGGTGGCATTCTCTAACAGTCAACCATGGGGTGATGGAGAGATGTGCAACAGTAGGTGTAATAGGTATAATGGTTTAATCTAAACTAAATATTATGATTATCAAAATCTATTTTGTCAATAGCAACTTTCGAATGTAAAAACATACTCTTTATCCTCAAGATATCAGGCCTAGATTTATGAATTGAAATCAAAACTTCGCAGTACCTTCGATATAATCACAAGTTCTATAGGACTTGTAGTGAAACCGGTTTTATTAAATAATAGGAACGCCCTTATTCGATGTGATAATCGAGATAAGATATTACTTTACATATCAGAACCATTCTAGCTATAAAATTTATACACAACTACTTCATACAGGTGGAGTCTTGTGGTTGCAATAATAATTTAGAACTGTGGTATTACTGACTGCCTTGTTGACCGAGTGGTCGCAAATGCGATTTCCGGGCGAGGGGTATCGGGTTCGATTCCCGAGTCGGACAAAGTAGAGATAAAAATCTCAGTAGTAGTACGGATTCTGCAAATGTGCCCGGTATATGACAATAGGCTCACCCCTTATTACACGGGACTCATAACATAAATAGTGAAAAGTGGGTGTTACATTGTACAGTGACATTAAGTGCCATAAATGTGTACCTCTGCCCCTTCGGGAATGAAAGGCTTGCTGTTATGTGGTGTCACTATATAAGCTGGTTTCTCATACAACCTAACCATGAAATAATTTTTGAAGTTTTGACACAGCATTTGTGGGTTAGAAAATATTCAGTAATGTACCACGCAATAATAACACCGAATTAGTTTTAAGTCCAGCTGTAGTTTGCTCAATAAGATATACTCGATCAGTCATGTTTAATAAGCAATCGATTCAGTAATTTTCAGTTATGGCATAAAACAAATCTGAATTTTGAACTTGTTATGTCGATACTAGATGTAGAATAAATTGTTTTTTGTTAAAGGGGAGAAAATCATCGAATCGCTTCTCGGGAGGAAGTGTCAGACTCTTATTGACTAAAAACCACCCCGTTCCTGCACTTCGAGCCGGAGACCCTGCAACCCGTTAAGTCCTCCGTGGCTCCGTATCTGCATGAGCCCTATTGTGCCCCATCCGTGGAATAAATTAGTTTTCATCCATTTATTCAATGAATGAAGAGTAATTAAACTATAAATGCACACCTACAAAATATACAAGTACTATCTACCTACAACAATTTTGCGTAAATCACGCAACCTGTACTGTAAAGTGAGAGGTATTATGACCCTATCCGTATGGCCCTATTTGGACCATGTGAACACACGTGTTCTCTAACATATTATCACTGCAGCACACGCACGGTAAGGGTTATATAGTCATTAATTATTATGAACGATATTATGTGAACTACTATTAATTAGTGGTACTTATGTTGGTGGTATAAGGGTCAATGTTCTGTAGATTTACTCTCTAATCTAAAATTAGAGTACTTGAAGTGTATTTTAATGTGGTACCTTTCGCGAACCAACTTAAAGTTTGAAATCATGTGTTTAGTATAATGATCACCCTCTATTTCAATACGAAATGTATTTGTCAACTTGCAATAGCCCGAATCAATTCCATAGGTGAGAATTGAATACTTGCCAACTAGTCAAATTCAATACATTTTTCGAACTGTAAAAAACGACAGTCTTCTGTGAATTTTGTACAAGATTGTGTATTGTGACGTCACATTTTTTAGCCCCAAAAAGCATAATTATTTCTTAAAAATTTGCCGGAAAAATACTAAAATTAAGTTGGTCATCAAATCAATGAATGAAAGTGTGATTAATTTTTTAATAATAATTGATTGCATTGAACAGTCTAAACAATTTATTAATGATTAAGAAAAGTAGCTAATTGATAGGGTATTGTAGATAAGAATTTCAAAATAAAAATACGCCATAATAAATTACCTAATTCAGGAATCAAGTTCAACTGTCACTCTGATTTCAAAAACATGACACGCCACTCAACACTGGATACCTCAATGTTTTTCTTCGAACCGTTTCGATATTCAAATACCAGTACATAACAAAACGACCACAAACCAACGCAAAAAAAAAAACAAAACACAATCAAGTTGTCATTGTCACAAGCATTTGAAACAACCATTTTTATTATTATCAGCCTATTATTTATTAAAAGAAAACCGAAATGCGTGAAAATTACTTTGATACTATCGATATTGACTCAATGTTTTTTCGCATGGCAATATTGTGTCTCAATGATTGTCATTTTCTTAAATATTTCTATCAATGGCCTTCGAGCTCAGTTGGACAGTGGTCACGACTAATATCTAGCGGGTAGCGTTACACCATCCAGTATTGTAGCTACTACTATTGATAGAAGGTACGTCTGTTTGTTTGGTCCGTTCAATTCTAAAGATATGTTTATAATGTAAATGTAATCTATTTGAGGAATTGGGTGTTGTTTTTTTTTAAAGTTATTAAGCTACGACGTAGAACTCAATCGTGAAGTCAGATAACATATTATCACCTGTACCTGTCAATTTATAAATCGTCATTTACTAGCGGTAAGTCTGAAATTTTGCTTGGGAGAATAAAACGTGATAAAATATGAGTTAAACATTTTAAAGTTAAGTTATTTTACATCGATTGCTCATATTTAGTTAGATTAGCATTAGGTAGGTAACATGAACTTATCTGGTTTTGAGTTCAGTTCAGCTAAAGTATTAATAATCAATTAATTACTAATTATAAGATATAATTAAAACACGTAGATTGTAAACCCACCTTAAACTAAACAAGGTCAATACCTGTGTGTAACGAGATCTATTGAGATTAAGGCGAAACAATAACTACAATAAGGGCGGCGACCGAATGAGTTAGTTATTGGAAACCACAAAATGTAGAGCATAATAAACAAAGTTAAGAAGCAATTTCTATTGCTTGATTTGATCACTGGAATTATACACAATATTAGTCAATAATTTGCAATGTGCATGACAGATAGTCATCTGGAAAGACTATTGAATCGTCGATAATATCTACATATAAATATACTGACTTTACTAATTTCGAGTCACAGAGGGCTTCCTAACCAGGCTGCAGGGGAAGTCGCACCCTCAAACGAACTCCTCTGCAAACCCCTCTGTGGTTCGTAACTAGTAGAACTTTTCTTAGTATATTCACGTGAATATCCCGCGATTTTAGTTAATACATACATACATTAAAACAAATATTAATGAATCTGTTAATAACACAAACAAATAACTAATTTATTTCTGTCCGGTAAATGATACCGCATTGAATTAATAAGAACAAAGTATCAAGTTTCTCAATCACGATTATAATATTAATTGAATTGTTATTTGATTGACATTATATTTGTATTATTTGTTCATGTTTAACGGATATCATTGCACAGTTGCACAGGTGCTAATGAATCAGCACAAGGGTCGAATTATGTACAAAAATATTAATAATAAGGTTATAACTTAAAATAAGAAAGCGAAAATAGAACAGGATATTGGATTGGTTAATAAAAATCATTACGATTCCATTTAGACTACGCAGCTTTGTTAGAATACATAAAAACTTCTATAACAGTTTCCATATAGATAGAAACTGAAATCTATTATTTTTGTTATGATTTTTACCTTCCACGATCTCGGCTTATTGAGGTTAAATTTCACAAATATTTATATGCACCTGTAATAATTAATCACTGCATAAAATTCATTACAATTGGAACTTAATCAAGACTCTAGACAATAACTTTTACTCAGACAACGAGAACCAGTTAAAAAGGTGCTCCAATTAAAAGATCAAAACCGAAAATTTCGACTTAGCAACACAACTTAAATCAAGTTTAAGTAAAATTCCACATTACCAAGGCTTTTTAGGACATTGACCGGACTTACGAAATACTATGAAAGGTACAAGCAAGTGAACCTATCCAACCTGTGAGTTAAAATTTCGACTTTATATAAAAGCTTTAGAGTAGAGAATCTAACAAAGAAGTACAGAAAGGAGTAGGTATGGTACCTGCCACTATGGACACGATACATCAAGCCACACAAAACCAAT